CCCAAATAACGTCTCTGAATCTCAGCCAAAGCAATCTCCTGTCACTCCCACTGAGCCTACTGATAAGGAGTCTCCATTTCTTGAGCATTGTAGTCAAGAAATGTCCACAACTGCTGACCGTAGAAGCAACAACGAGAAAATTCGTTGGAACCAGGAAGTTGAATTTCTCTTGTGTAGTGCTTGGTTGAATATCAGCAAAGATTCACTGATCAGTACAGATCAAAGTTATCGGAGTTTTTGGGAGCGCATTCAAGAATATTTTGAAGAGTTTCGCAATAAGACATCTCAAGTTTGGAGGGGTAAGCAGGCAATTATGAATCACTTGCATAGAATCAACAAAGATGTTGGAAAGTTCGTTGGTTGCTATGAACAAGTCCTACATCGAAGGGAAAGTGGAATAAGCGAAGAAGATAAAAAGAACAGGGTGTTGGAGTTATACCGTCAATTGAATGGTACAACTTTTAATTTTATGCACTGTTGGATTGTCTTAAAGGATGAAGAGAAATGGAGTAGTCAAAGCAACTAATCTAATGCACCTGATGGTAATGAACGTAGCGGAACAAAGAGGAATAAGAATACTATGTCAGGCCAATACACTGCATCATCAAACAACACAAGCATGCCTCCACCAGGGGAGTCTGACACTGTGTCACATCCACGTCCCCCGGGAAGGAAAGCTGCAAAAAATAAAGGGAAGAAAACATATGTGTCAACTGACACAATTGAAAGTATGGAAGCTGTAGTGCAACAAAAGATCAACATTGAAGCAGGAAAATTAGAGGCGATGAGAGAGTTCACGGCTACGCTGATCAAATTACAAGAGGAACGAGAGAGGAAACGAGAAGAAAAATTGAGGCAAAAAGAAGCATATAGACAAAAAAAAAAATTGACACTGAAATTAATTGATATGGATTTATCAACGAAGTCTGAAGCATAAAGACGACTATATGATAGGAAAATTAACCAGCTACTCGAAGACGCATGATTTATATTCAGGAATTTGATATTTGTCTTGTTTCGACCTAGCATTTCTTATTATATTTTGTTTTGATAGTTGATTCATATAATTTTTTAATAAATAAAAATAGTATATTTATATTATTTCAATGCATATTTCAATTAACGTAGATAATCAATTAATATACTGCAAAGCATAAAAAAATGTTGGAGCCCGCACAACAAAATTACTATTTATGGGACTACATATTTTTTATTCAAATATATTCCATAAATTAGCAAAGAAAATGTAAAAAAGAAGAATGAAAAGGGACGTGCATTGCAAAGTGAATTTCATTATTTGAAAGCTTGCATATTTGCCAGTGGTTGCCACATCCGTGCAATAGTATATGCAATTGCCACGTAGATGGACACATAGAGTTGCAATTGAAATGAAATTGGGGATGGAGATGCTCTATGCATATTTGATCCTTTCTAGTTAGTTAATATATATAAACTTTAAGTTTAGTTACTATTGCAAAAAAAACTACATTTTGATACCCAAATTTAATTAAATTACAACTTAGTCACTATATTGTACATTTTATATTTTGATACCCCAAATTTAATTTTAATGTAAAGTCATTGAATAATTATAATTTAGTATCTAAATTTTATGATATTTTCGTACCTATAATATTATAAATTTACATATTGGTCTAATGTTTCGATTTCACTTGAATCCATGAATCTAATCCACCAATCCATGAAACCAATCCACCATAACATAAAAGTATAAATTTAGTTTGTACTATACAAGATGTATCACTCAACTATAGGAGAAGATTTGACCATTTCATATTTGCTCATTACGTGAAACATTAAATAAATGATAAAAGATAGAAGACTCTAAAATATTACAAGAGCGAGTTTATAAACTCATTTAGTACATTTACGGGGTACTAAACAACCTTATACTAATTACATGTAGCAAAATATGCGACATCTACATAAGCAAGTGTCAATAAATTGCTACGCTGAAAAGAGTTGACTGTTGCATTCATGGTCAACTACAAGAATTGGTCAAAACCTTTCCATCATCTACCTTCATTTCATTTTTCACTCGCATTCCATAACCCTAATTAGTATACTATTTTTATGTATTCAAATCACAAGTATGAACGGGTCCATACACGACTCACAAACAGAAACAATCTAGAGAATTAATAATTGAACCATGAACCACTAACTTTTTCGGCTCAATGTCGAGTCAAATTAAAAATAAATATATATGGTTATTATTTATTAGAAAGTTGTCATTTTTCACTATGGGATTTGAATGCGTGAAATTTTAAGCGAGTTTCAGTTTGTATTCCTTTTGCTTCTCTCTAAAGTTTTCCATTTTCACCCCGGCTAGAATTTTCAACAATTATACATGGAATATTTGGCTAGATATCTCACATATCAAATAAATAGTTTTCTATTTTCTATAGAAAAAATTAAATAATTATCATTTTAAATACATCACCATAAAAGGAATTAAGACTCAACTATGCAAATTACAGTTTGGTACCTAAACTTAATAGATCTGTAGATTTATAGCCTAAATTTATTTTTTGGCATATAAGTCCTCAAATATTGATGGAACATTACATTATAGTACCTAAAATTTTTGTGCATTACATTTTGGTACCTAAACTTTTGAAGTTCTACAAATAGGTCTAATTTTTGTATGTGTAATTAAAACATCATCGAATAAATGGGTATCAATACTCAACTCATACACATTTAGATTATGAAAGTAAATATTCATACCCTACCCAAAAACATCTACAAACTTCCAACCCCGTATATAGCTCACGCATACCCTCCTCATAATCAATGGGTCGTCTTGGGTTTAGGTAAATATCATTTATTAGCCAAAATTTTCGAATTATTTTAAATTGGAAGTTGACCGTTATATATCTCTTCTCAGTCAATATCATATTGTCAAGTCAATATTACTAACAAAACTGCAAACAATAAGTTAATTTTAGCTAATAATACTAACAAAACAACATAACAGGCCACATAATACATGCACATAGGTCATCTCCGTCCCGCTTCAAGGCGGGGCTTCACCATCTAGTCATATTGAAATGAAAGTCACCAAGGTATATAATTGAAAAGTTGGCTGCAAAAAATAAAAATATTGGTGGTAATAAGGTACGCTATAAAATAGTCTTCACCCATTTGGTAGATCTATTTAGCATTCACACATTAATTTAAAGTTGTCTTACTTTGGCCAAGGTTAGGAGCTAACACGCAATTTGTTAATATGGTGTAACACTAGTTTCAGTTAATACGAACATTTCATTTTGATCATGACTTTTTTTATTTCTAAAGAGTTTACCACGGTTAATGTTGATTTGTAAAGAGAGGGTCACACTTGTCATTTTCAAAAATTATAGTGGGCACACGCATAAGAGGCTGCTCATTTATTTCGCATCCGACTATGACCACACGTATCATGAAGTATAACACAGAACACAAGCTAGAAACATAATCCGACTTTGACCACAAATATCATGAAGCATAACACAGAAGACAGGCTAGAACCATTTCATTTCACAAACGCTAGATATCCAAATGCCCTCCAGGACAACTTCATGATTTGTAGTTTTTACTATCCTAAGCTTGGGATATGAAAATACTTGACTTGAAACCTCAAGATTTTTAGTTGTGTTCTTCTTTGAGTTTTAGATTTATGCATTTACTACAGACAAAAAGAATACGCTTTATAGTGAAGAAGAACAACGCAACTCATTGTGCATTTATTCTTTCATATCCCAACTGAGATCTTGATTAGCAGAATCTTACGAGTTTTGCATTTCAAGCTTTTTTCGTTAGTTCATAGAGGTATGCAGGCAAGCGGGGCCGAACCAAGACTTCAAGTGGGATGGCTTTGCTGACAGTCAGTCCAGGTGCACCAGTCATATCGACCGGTGCATCTGAAGGTTTGTAGATATCAAACGCTTGTAGGAATCTCGCCAGAGCCATTTGAGTCATTTGAATGCCGAAGTTGATTCCAGGGCACGACCTTCTTCCAGCACCAAATGGGATAAGCTAAAAGTGTTGCCCTTTCACATCGACATCCTTGTACCCTGCCGTGAGGAACCTCTCTGGCTTGAACTCCATTGGCTCTGGCCAAACCCTTGGATCCCTTTGTACATTGTGAACATTCACCAATAGCCGAGTCCCAGCTGGAACATGGTACCCGGCGACAATGCAATCCTTTGAGAATTCTCGTGGACCTCCAGATGGAGCTGCTGGGTACAACCTCATTACCTCCTTCATCATGGATTGGAAATAAGGAAGCTTGCAAATTTCTGATTCATCCACCACTCTTTCCTTACCAACAATCATATCAAGCTTATCTACCACCTCTTTTAAGGAACTTGGATGGTTCAGAAACAGGGAAAGAGCCCAGATTAGAGTCACGGTTGTTGTATCAGTTCCTCCAACAATCAGTGTCTGCCACAAACAACAGAAAAATTGAGAATCCATCAGTTAAATGGATTTGTGTTTTAGTATGCAGATAAGATGTTAAAAACTTTCAACACCATGATTGTTGATTTGAAAACTGTATCTAGATCATATCCAGCAGGGTCTGGATCTTTCAGGACACGGAGCAAAACATCTATGAAGTCTTCTTCTTGTTCACCATCATCACCGGAAGTCGTTCTCTTGCTTCGATGCTCCTCGATCCATTCTTCCGCAAGTTTGTTCAAATCTCCATTCACTCTTCTCATGTCCTCCTATATCCAGAAACCCTAGGAATGGAAACATGTCTCTCACAACAAGCTGCCCTGCATAATGAAAGAACTTTCTCATCAATCCCCTGCATCTCTCTGCCTCTCTCCCGTCGTCTGCCTCTGCAACTCCATCATGGCCGAAGTAGTACCTCTTCCCTGCCACCATCCCGAGTATAACATTCAAATTCATTTCCCCAAACCACTTATTCATCTGAACACAGACTCTGTCCTTGTTGTTCTTCTCCCACAGTTTGCAGACACTCCTGATGGTCACTTCCACTTCAGAAATCCTGTTTGTTTCAGCAGCTCCAGCCTGCGGCTGGAGAGCAGCTCCAGGGCTGTAATTTTCCTCATCTGGCGCCAATAATCACCGTACGGAGTGAATGCAAAGTCGGCCCTGTTGTTGCTCAGAATCCTCGAAGCAGTGAGATCCGGGTGCGACGATATGGATGCATCGTGGGTGGTGTAGAGTTCTTTAGCCAGCTCCGAAGTGGTGACAACCAGGGTTAGGTACAAACCGATCCGGACGATGAAAATCGGGCCGTATTTAGCAGCCAGCTCTGCGAATTTCAGGTGGGGAAGCTGAGTTCCTGCCAAGGACAACAGGTGGCCTATAACAGGCCATGCTCTCCCAGCTTCTGGAAGTCGTTTGCCTGTTCGTGATTTGGGTCTCCTGAAGAAGAGAGAGTAAGAAAGAAGAAGAACAAGGACGGTAGCTATGGTTATGGTTTTCAGGAATGGAGGGAAGAAATCCATTTCAGACCATCAGCTTTAGATGCAGAGCAAGTGAGTGTTCCTTCTCTTCTCTGTTGGTCTGAATTTAATTGGTTTGGAAGGAGATGATATAAATGCATCATTTTGTAGGTCATCATCATGGTCATGACATTTTACTTTCCAATTGATACAGATGTCCAATGACGATCTCAACTTTCTTTAATTGCCGGCCGAATTGCGTATCCTTTGACAAAGTAGATCCCTAACTTTGCAGAGAAGAGGATGTTCAGACTAATCTAATAATACTACATGGTAGGATAAGCATGAAGGATGGCAAGTTTAAAAAATTAAGCCATAATTACGTGTTAAGATTTAAGAGGTCTCTTTCTTACTGTTTACCTCGTTGAATTCCTTACTCAATTTTGTCAAATTTTCCACTATAAACGATTAATTTTGGTGAAATCAGCATACAAGGTGGAACAAAATTTCTTCTTTGTTTACTTAAAGGCAATGTAGTAAAAAAAACTTAATTCTTTTTACTGGTTTTGATCTGAACTGGAACCATACTTACTTCACGTGTAAGGAATAACCTCCGTATTGTGTATTATGTATGTTGACTTGCAAGTTCTTAGCATGAAGCTAGAATACAACTATATATACATATGTATACTATATATATACTTGCAAGTTGCAACTTTACAAGTAGATGATAGTGTGATAACACTATAAAGCGTTGTTATGTTTAGAAATGAAATAAACAAATTCAAATTTTAGGTATTATTAAATTTTAGGGTATGCTTATGGTGACATGCATGTCACTGTAACTTGCACTTTTAGGTAGATCTCATATAGGATTAGGTCGAGCTAATATGCATTTTTAGGTCGACCTAATATGTCGTTTCAGTTTTGTGAGGTTCCCGAATACAGTAATGTGGGCACCCTGATGACTTATCACGGTTGACCTTTAAAATGTAGTGGTCGACCGTTTATAGTTTAAGTTGTCATTGTTGGTCGACCACAATAACACATCGGTCACCCTTTTTATTGGTTTTAGAAGCAAAATGGTCCATCATAAAGGTATATATAGTTTAACCACTTCAGGGGCGGAGCTACGTTGGGACTCCACCCCCGTCGTTTGTAGCTAGGTAAATTTAATTGAACTTATACATTTATATCTTCAAAGATAATTTTAAATATATAGCAAATAATTCAATTATTTTCCCATTTTTTATAGACATTCATTTGTTACTTATCATAAATTGAAGAACATGGTGCATTATTTTTTGTTGAAATTTATTTAATAATTCTGAACATGTCGTTGATAAAATTTTTAATTTAAATCATACTTTTAGTGCTTATAATTATCTTAAATAACATTTTGTGGGGTGACATCAATATTTTTTTTACGATAATAAAATTTTCGCCCCCCTCCCCCCCGAACTTAAAATCCTGGCTCAGCCCCTGAACCACTTGATGACGGTCATTAACAAAATGGTCGACCATTTTACAGAAAGAGGACGACCAGATAGAAGAGAAGTGTTGTATCCATTTATCATCATCATTTGACGTAAAATTAAGATCAAAGTGTTGGTTTCGCGATCGACCTAATCCGGTACGAGGTCGATCGAATACAAGAAAATCAACCTATGTCCTGCGTCTTTTTTGCTTATGTATGTCGACGTGGATGGTTCTTTTGCTCGTACAAATTACGTTTCAAACCAACAGAATGAGTCATAAATAATGATAACAAGGACTCATAACTTCGACGTGGTCGACCTCTTGAATCACGTACAGCAGCAACCTCAAAGGATCTTTTTCACGAGCTCTAACCTAAAAAAAAACCTAATTCAGAGTTTCAGTGGCGGTGAAGGTGACATATATTCGTATTTATAGATATTTATGACGATAATGGGTCGAATTAAGTGGTAGATAAGTTAGGGTTACCTTTTTGGTGTTGGAATCCTTATCCAATACGGATACGGTGTGCAAGCGGTCGACCTCGTACTTATGTGGTCGACCTGAGTTAATCAAAATGGTCGGCCTATGAGGTATTTGGGTCGACCTTTCATTCTGTACGCTTCCCAAAGAGGTCGACCATTTGCTATAAAAGGTTAACCGCGTCGTTGAACCTCACAAAACTGAAACGACACATTAGATCAACCTAATCCTATATGAGGTCGACCTAAAAGTGCAAGTTACGTTGACATGCATGTCACCGTAGCAAAGTCCTAAAATTTAATTTAGTATGAGTCAAATGCAATTCGTATAATATCATTTTTGAGAAATTTGATATTTTTATATCGTATAAATCTAGATAATAATAATAATAAATCTCTATATTTATGAGAAATATGATATTTCCATATCTTATAATTTTCAAAAATATGCAAAATATTTTAATCTATTATTTAAATCTCATTGCCCGCGGATCCTAAATCTTTTTTTAATCATATATAAAAAAGGGTGGATCTATCCTTGCTCAACTTAAAAAAAACGGTAAAATAGTTAAATCTATAGAAGCATTATTTCAAACCTCATTGGCAGTACCAAATACAGATATACAAAGAAAATGGTTAAACTCCATTTGATTAACATTTACTCTATATATGGATATAATATAATTTAGTTTATTTTTTTTATTACCCAGGAATCTACTTTGTGACAGCAGCCTTATACCTCCGGGAACACTAATGGGGCTCACTTGGATTCGAACCTCGGATCTTCAACTCCCAAACTTTCACTATCGAAACAGTTTTACCGTTAGGCTATCTTACCTTTGGTATAATTTAGTTTATTTAAATGCAACAGACATGTAAAAGATTGTCAAAAGGAAAGGAATTATTAATACTTAGAGCATCTCTATTGGTGCAATTGCATTTGTGATTTTTTTTAAGGGTAAATATAATTTAATATCCAAACCTTTCATTTTAAACAATATAATAGTCAAACCTTTTTTAAAACAATCTAATATCCAAATCGTCAACTTTCCATCCGTTTGACCGTTGGTTGACACTTCAAAAAAGCTTTGTTTAGGGGAAATTGTCACAATAGAACTTTGTTTTCTTGTTTTGGCATTGCAGATGACTAAATATTTAGATATTCTATACCATCATGGTGGAGTCATGGACTTCTCAGGTTTGGAACCACGATATGTTGGTGGTTATTTAGAGAAGATATCGATGGATATTGATGAAGCGTCGTACTTCGAACTTTTTTGAAGTGTAAACTAACGGTCAAACGAACGAAAAGTTGACGATCTGGATATTAGATTGTTTTCGAAAAGATCTGGCTATTATATTGTTTAAAATGAAAGGTTTGAATATTAAATTGTATTTACCTTTTTTTACACAACACTATTTTTGCAAGCCAACTCACTTGACTTTTATTGTACCTAAATTTGTGCAATTAACTTGCAATTACATATAAAAATATAAAAGCTTGCATAATTGCAAAACTTTCCACAACAGTAAAATTGCAGTTACATATAAAAATATAAAAGCTTGCATAATTGCAAAACTTTCCACAACAGTAAAATTGCAGTTGCAATTGCAAAACCACTAACCACGTCATAATGCAATTGGGAAAGAGTGGGCGGTGGAGATGCTCTTATAATTATCCTTAACAATCGGAACTTTGCTGAAGGGTAAAATACCTCGGGTACCACTAAAGTTTGAGATTTGGGGCAGACATACCACTTAAGTTTGAATAGGGCGTCAGGTACCATTCAAGTCACCAAAATGTGCATCCGTCTAGTTTTCCATCCAACCCAAAAATTTAATTATTTTTTGGTACCCTAAACTTTTAAAAATCATCTGAAACTATATTTCAACAAAAATCAAAGAAAATTTAGAACGGAAATAGAACGAAAGTAGCCAAGAAAATTATACAACATCCAGATGATATACGAGAATTAAATATAACATCCTCAGATTATTTATATCGATATAGAATTCATAGGATATATTTGCTTAAGCAAATTATTCAATTATTATAACACATAATGGTAATTTAAAGTACTTATAATGATAATTGATTCTACATTTCCTATTCAAAAATTGGTTTGGTATCAAAATCTTTAAAAAAAAAGAGAATAATTCAATTATTAGAAAACATAATGATAATTGAAAATACTTATAATGATAATTAATTTTAAATTTTCTTTCAAAAATTAATTTGGGATCAAGTTTTCAAAAGAGGATACCAAATAAATAATAAAAATTGATGTTTTTCATAAGTCAAAATAATTTTTTACAATAAGAAAAGTAGAAGGACCAATTAAGAAATTTAGAAAAGAGAATATTCAAATGATATTCTGTTAATTTTAACGGAATGCACTTAACATTAAACTTAAGTGGTACCGGATGCACAAATAATAGAATTCAGTGGTACCCGACGCTCTATTCAAACTTAAGTAGTACCTGAGCTATTTTACCCTTTTGCTGAACATATCGTACGATTGGGCCTAGGGCTACTCGCACGTTCTTGTGTTGGCTTCCGCTATCATTCAAGCAGCAGTGCTTCGGTTTCAATTTTTATCCTAGCCCGGGCAAGGCAGCCCACAGCCCACAAGTGTTGTGCAAAAGGCCACACTGGGCCATACAGACCTGAAACATAATCAATTCTATATATGCACTATGAGCCCATACACTTTTTTTTTTCTTGGGTGAGACTGAGAAGCCCATACACATTTCATTACTCGTTGGGCCAATACTACGGTACCACTATAAAAAGTGCGGCATCGGTTCCGCAGCATCTGATTGGGCCATGTGGAGCTTAGCATTCCTACGATTTTGTAACCCGAGGCCAAATCTGACTTTCCATTATAACTTGGCTGGACCGGTACTTAGACCAAACGGATGAAATTCTTTCCGTTGCTTTTTTCATTTTGTTCTCCCCAAATTATTTTGTTTACTTTTATTTGTTACTTTTTTCCCCTCCAGAAAATAAGGAAAAGAATCACGAAGGAAAAGTGAAGCAGTTCGACTCTAGAGAATCGTCATCGATTCAGTCTCAGGATCTTTGAAACAGCGCCACGGAAATCA